TCCAGCTTAATCAGGTTGCAGACCTTAGGTAAGTCACAATGTATGAATGGCTCTGTTAAGAGCACAACACATGATCTGGTGTGTTATGCATAATAGAGTCAATACGTACTTAAATACTTAGGGGTTTATTTAATGCCAGGGTCTGATTTATGTACTGATTGTCCACCAAATCAAATTAAGTGCCCAGTTCAAAGCCCATGTAATTTGCATCTTTTCATTAACTTCAATGGGCTTTGGATCAGAACCTAAAGAATGCCAGAAATTTGTTTGGATTCATAGATTCTGAAGCTAGAAGGGATCATTGTGATCATCTAGTCTGACTTGTAAAACACAGGCCATAGAACTTCTTCACAATAATTCCTTTTGATCTAGAGCATGTCATGTGCATGCTGCTAGTGTCATCTCAAGACCTAAGGCAGAGTGTGAAACTGCTGTGTCCTGTGTTGTGAAAACTCTGCTGTAAGAATCTTGAAAGTACCTAGTAGGACAGCTACCAAGGGGATGGGAAATTGGTTTGGGCATCCAATGATAACAATTGTGAGTTTGAACTTCCCGGGTGACTGGTTAAAGTGACCCTGCTTGGTTCTGTGTCAGAGGGGAAAAGATGTGACAAAGTGGGAATCCTCTATAATATTTGTATTAATTATATTAATGGCAGTGACTTGCTTGACTAGAGCTTGTTACCCAGTGGTGCTAGAAAGTTTAAAAGTTGCTCTTGGGGCAGAGCAGAAGACATGAGGTGTTTGTGTCACATAACTGACTGGGGTAGTATGAATGGGTTCTTAAAGGACTGACTGAAACCCACCCATATCAATGGATGATCTGGAAAGACAATGGGAACCCGAATGAGTGAATATGCTGTAGAAATTATTTTGAGGAAGTTTTATGGCCTGTGTTTCACAGCAAGTCAGACAAGATTAGCAAAATGGCTCATGTTGGCCTTGGAATCTATGACTATTAAAAAAACAAACAAACAAAAAAACCTCTTGAATGGGTTTGGAGGATAGAAAAGTGGGTATGAATTTCAAAAGTTAAGATGTTTACATGTTTTCAGGAGAGAACTTACGATACCTAGCAGGTTCAAGTCCTTGCTCTGCTACAGACTTCCTCTGGGTAAGTCTTTCTGTGTCTCTATTCCCCATCTGGAAAAGGGGGCTGACAGTACTTTTTTACCTTACGGGGTGTTGAGGAGAAAGACATTAAAGATCGTGAGTTGCTCAGATACTGCAGTGATGAGGGCCATATAAATGCCTTTAATAAACAAGTAGGATGGGGACTTAATACTTTTTTACACTTGCCTATTTCTAAATACTTGGGGTGTAATCCTGACCCCCCCATTAAAGTCAACATTAAAACGCCCTCTGACTTTAATGGGGGGTCAGGATTACACCCTTGGAGTTCTTGTCTTCATTGTTCCATATCGGTGCATTTCTGTACACCACACGAGGTATGCTATTAACTCCTTGTTCAATTTGGAATAAACAAAACTGTTGACTTTATTTATTCGTCTGTATTATGTTTGACATACTATACCTGCTGCTCACTAAAAGCTCTATATTACATTTGAAAACGTATAAATACTGAACATATTTGCCAAAGTGGATCAGGGTATTACTCCATCAAGCTCACTATTCTGCTTCTATCATTAACTAAGACTCAATGTTTTGGTGCTTCAGAGGAGAATACTCCTCTAGATAATATACCTACATGAATGTGGAAAGCTGTACGACATTTGTGTTTAAGGGAAAAGGACATTCTTTACTGATCCTTGCAAGCAATTAACGTGAGATTGGGTTAACCTTTAACAAGCTTAGGTAGCTTGTTCTTAAAGATCACAGTTATCCAATCCTCTTTACTTTTGAATTTCTCACATATGTTCCTGGTTCTCTTTCCTCAGGCACTCCTGCAAATTTAGAACCCCTCACCATGCACAAGTTTAGATTATTTGGCCCAATATTAATTACATTACAGTTATGAAAGTTTAAAATCATCTTTCATAGTGCTGCCCGGTTCCCTAATGTACTTAGATCCATCTGAAGTTACTCATGATTCTCCATAGTTTTTCCTAAACGAAATAGTTCTGTATTGTCAGTAATCTTCATCAACAGTTTATCCACTTTCCCCTTCAAACCATTAATAAATATATTGAACAACACTGATTCAGATACTGGGCATGAATCCAATCCCTGCGCTATCTCACTACTAACTTCTCTGTCTTCTGAGAACCATCTAATTATTCTAATACTGTTTTCCTATTGACTAGTGAAATGGAGAAAGACAGAGGATCTGTAATTTCATACCTGGGTCAAATAACTTGACATACAAATAATCTGTTTAGAGAATCTGGCAGAGGTTAGCCCTAATATTGACCTATATTCAAATTGATTATTTTGGGGAAAAAACTATCAATTCCAGCACTGCAGGTGATTGTGTTTTAGATTGTGTTTTTGTTTCTTGCCCAAGAAGGGTGGGAGGACCGAGCACTTTGGTGTTGCTTCTTCTGGTAGAACATGACGAGCGCACACTCAGTTTAACTCTAGCTCCTGTTGAGTTTTAAGAACAGCTCTCCTAGCACAGAGAATGAAACTGACTAAGCGTCTTTTAGTTTCCCTCCGTGCAGAGAGCTCAGCTCCAGATGGAAGTAAAATGAAGTGGATTTAGGCATCAGCTGCACTGTGCAGGTTTGATTTTGGGGGCAGGAGAGGAGAGATTGGGAGTAGGAGGAAAGATGTGGGAAGAGATGCAGAGGATGGCTTCTCTACATTTAGCTATCACTGTTAAATAACCTGCTAGCCAAAAGATGTATTTGTAATTTCTGAGTTAATTTTCAATTTTTTTGCTTTCTCTGTCACTTTCTAGGATTATTGCACACATTCTGGAAATTGTACTGTCCCCCCCATCCTTCCTCTTTTAAAACATTTGTTCTTTAGACTTGTCTGTAGTACAAAAGGTTATTGTGCACAAATATGATTGTGAAGAACCAAATTAGCTGATATCATGCTGACCAGGGGTTTAACTATAACTAGATGATTTTATTATTCCAATATTTACCTAGCAGTAATGACTAAAGATGTCAACCAGGTTGAGCCCCATTGTGCTAGGTTCTGTACAAACATATATTACATGACAGCCTCTGCCCCAGAGTGCTTGGGACCAAATTTTTAAAGGTATTTAGGTGCCTAAAGATGCAGATAGGTTAGGTATCTAGTGGATCTTTAAAGACGCAGATAGGTACATTTAGGTGCCTAAATACCTCTCAAAATCTGACATTACATGTTGTAATGTAGACCATTTAAAGAGTTTAGGAACTGATTTTTTTTTTGATTTTTTTTTTTGTAGATGAGGCATTAGGGAAGAAAGTAAAACTCTGGAATGGGTGTGGAGTGTTTGTGATAATCCCAGAACTGGAGATTGCTTAATGTTGCACAGTGGTATGATTGCTCTCCATAATGTACGATGGTGCCTTATGCTGATTCATAGCAACACCTGTTGTTCTACATGGTTCCTTATGCTGTGCTCATCACTGTAGTATCTGAGTGCCTTTCAGTAGTGCATTAAGTAATGTAACTATACATCTGTGACATGTTGTTTGTTCTCTCATCCTCTTCCCTGGGGCAGAGACTTGTGCACTGGAGTAACTTGTTTGGGTAGCGTTTTAGTTTTTTTGTTTTTGTTTTTTTGTGGTGGTGTTTTTTTCAGTATATATTGCTATGTATATATGTCAGAGAAGCCAAGGTCAAAGGCATGTCAGCATTACATGAGTAAGTAATGTCACACGGGCCTTGTGTGGCAGAGTAATGATGTGATGAGAAGTTGCAGGTATGTAATGGTGGTGGCATGGTGATGTGGAAAGGCGCACTGAAGCATGGTGGTGATGGTGCTTGCACATCTGCAGAGTAATATGGAGTAACAGTGAATGGTTGTGATAGAGTGTCATGATGGTATTTGGCATATAATGGTTCAGGGACATGATGCCTTGACCCAGCCCGGCCCCGAACCTGCTGCTGCTGCGGGGAGGGAGAGCTGGGGAGGAGTCCTCTCTCCCCACCGTAGCCCCGGGGAGCCCCACTGCACCCCAAACCCCTCATCCCTGGCCCCACCCCAGAGCCCGCACCCCCAGTTGGAGCCGTCACCCCCTCGCACTCCAACCCTCTACCTCAGCCCCTTCCCCCTCCAAACCCCTCGGCCCCACCCTGCCACATGAATTTTGTTTGAAACAAAATTCATTCCGACATGGGTGGGAAAAATTAGAGGGAACACTGGTGCAGGCCCATGTTGGTGCATATCCTATGGTGGTGTAGAAGTACCATGAAGGTGTGTGGTATCACAGCTTGTGTTGGTGATGCATGACTGCAGGGTTTGGCGTGTGTGGTGTTGGTGCAGTGCCATGATAATGCACAGTGTGAGGGTATGCGGTGGCGGTTCAGTGAAGAGTTGGTGCGTGGTGGCCGAGTAGTACCATGGTATCATGATGCATTGGCATGGTGGCCATGTTGTGACGTGATGTGATGGTGCAGCAATGTGGCAGTGCAGTGGCATAGTGATGCAGTGTCATGATGGTGTGTGGTGGCCGTGCAGTGGTGTGGTGGTGCCACATGATGGTGGAGTGGCGTGGTGGCATGTGGTGGTGGTGCAGTGGTGTGGCGTGATCGTGCACTGGCATGGTGGCGATGGTGCAGTGGCGTGTCATGATGGTGCGGTGGTGTGGTGGCAGTGCAATGATGTGGCGGGATGGTGTGCTGGCAGGGTGGCGATAGTGTAGTGGCATGATGGTGCAGCAGTGTGGGGCAGTGACCTGGTGTGATGATGGGGCAATGCCCTGTCGCTGACACAGGCCTGGGCCGAAGCCCCCCGCCCCCGGGCTGAGACCCCGCACACTCGACTCACCGAGGGCGCCCGGGGGCGTGGCCGGCGGCGGGCGGCACCAATGGGAAGCGGGGGGGGCGGGGCCAGCCGGGGAGGCGGGGGAGTCTCCGCGAACAAAGAGCGAGCGAGCGGCCGGGCTGGCAGCGCGGAGCCCGCACGGGAGGGAGCCGCTCACCTGGGCCGAGCCGGAGCCGGCACCGCCATGCGGGGGAGGGCGCCGCCCGGGAGCAGCGGGGGCCCGGCCGCCTGATTCGGGGGAGCCAGCGCGAGAGAGCGGAGCCGGCGGCGCTTCCTTCCCCCCCATGGCAGCGACAGGCGGCTGCGGGTGAGGCGGGGGCCGCGGCTCGGGTCTCGGAGGGAGCGGCCGGCCGGCCGGCAGGGCCGGGCATGGCGGGGGTCAGCTACTCGCCGCCCTGGTGGGTGAGTCTCCTGCACCGCCTGCCGCACTTCAGCCTGCGCTGGGAGGCCGCCAGCGCCGACTTCCGCCCGGAGGACGCCGAGTACCAGCAGGTGAGGGGCCGGCTGTGGGGGGAGGGTCTCGTCAATTTCTCCTCAGACACCCCCGGCTTGGCGTGGGCTGCCCCTCCCCCACCCCACGGGGTAGATCCACGGGGGGGGGGCGGTGTCTGCCCTGCCCCTCCCATGGGGTAGATCCGCCCAGGGGCAGGTGAGGGTATCCTGCGGGGGGGTCCCACCGGGGTAGATCCGCCCAGGGGCAGGTGGGGGAGGGTATCCTGCTCCCCCCCCGGGGGTAGATCAGCCATGGGGCAGGTTGTATTATAGACTACAGGCAGAGAAGGCATCTCCCCCTCCCCCCCACAGGAGAGAGGCAGGAAATTATTTAGCCCCTGGAACAATGAGCACAGACCCTGAGTTCCTTTGAGAGCAGCTGAAGCTCTCCTTCCTGTGGGGGAGGGTAAAACACCAGCCCCTCGGGCCCAGCTGCCCAACGGGGATGGGGAGATGGCTCCTCGGGGCTGGAAGGGTAACGCTGCCGCAGGCTGAGCTGCCCAGGTGAGGCACACGCGCTGCCTTCTATCCTGTGGCTGAATGATAGGTACTTGGTTGCCGAACAGATGTGGTGCCACTTGGTACAAAATATCCCATCCCACGTAGGATTGGAGCGGTGGTTCAGATAGCTCAGCACCCTGCCTTTGTTGGGACTCCGTGAAATGTTCAGTGTCTTTTTCTGAAGCCATCTAAAATGCTTGGTAGACAACAGATGGCTTAGTGGCTACAGAGGACCAAGTGTGTGGGGAGACACTGGCAGGATACTTGCGTCCTTCAGTGCTGCTTAACCTGTACTTGAGTGACTTGTTGTCTAATTAGAATGATGGTGGAGTGGATCTGTGTATTCCAACATCTGTGTTCTCTGCTGCCATCTTAGACTGGAGCTGCAGTGATTCTACTGCCTCATTGTGCCACGCTCTTTGGCTTTGAAAACACCATTTTGCTTCACTGAATATACTTAGTTCTGTAGGGCACCACAATACCATAATGCAGAAATGGGAAGGCATCTAAGCAGTGCTTACCTACTGTAAAGAGAGATGCTATAGGAATATTTTAGCTAGCAGTATTTTTGTTTTTAAGTAGCTTCAGATTGCAGGATTGACTATAGCAAAGACTATTCTTGGGTCTCTCTCTCTCTTTTTTTTTTTTTTTTATTTATAAAGTGGATAGGTGGCTACAAAAATGTCTCTGAATCTGAGAGCAGAATTGTCTTCTGATCTTCAATCTTGGTCTTTCTCTTAACTCATCTGAATTTCCTTGGTTGGAGGAGAAATCAAGATGTGCAATGTTTATATAAAAAAAAAAAAACCACCTCTACATATGTCCAATGGTTTTAGCTCACTTTTTTGGACTGAGGTAGTTGCCTCCTGTAGTGAAACAAGGAGTGTGAGGTATTGAAGAGGAGAAACAAAAGTGTAGGTTGGGGAAACTGTTCTTGGATTGTTATGAAAGAAACACACTAATCAGTCACTGATATGCTTGTGTTGTTTTTAGTAGTTTAAAATAAAAGCACTATTTCCAAATACCGTATGCTCTGTGTATATATTATAAAATACTCTCTCACAGTAGTTCTGTTGAGACTTAGTGTTATAGCGAAGTCTCTTGGGGTTGGTAAACCTCCTGTTGTTCCTGCCTCTTACGGTTGCAAAAAGAGTGTGTGCTAGTTAAGGACTTGTTTTTGCCATTGCCATTGCTATATGGCTATTTTAACTCTTGTCAAACCAGAAATCGAGGGTGTAAGTGTGTTTTGAATATCAACCCTGCGTACTTCAGTGCTGTTTATGTATAGCACATAACCTCTGCAGCTCCATGAACAAATGTCAAGATAGTAGCACTGTTCCATCCTGTTGCTGACTCTGTAACAAAGATGCTCTGATTCTGTAAATGGAAAGACATGTCAAGGATTTGTGTGCATGTGTGCAAAGCATAATACAATACAGTAAAACTAGAAAATTTAACCTGATGGTCAAAGTAACATTGCAATCACTCCCTTCCTCTATAGATTGTTCTGAAGGCCTCCTGGTTTCAATGCTGCTTTTGTCAGTATTTTGAGTATGAGGGGGAGGGATAGCTCAGTGGTTTGAGCATTGGCCTGCTAAACCCAGGGTTGTGAGTTCAGTCCTTGAGGGGGCCACTTAGGGATCTGGGGCAAAATCAGTACTTGGTCCTGCTAGTGAAGGCAGGGGGCTGGACTCAGTGACCTTTTGGGGTCCCTTCCAGTTCTAAGAGATAGGATATCTCCATATATTATTATTATCCTTTTGCTCCATTTACAGTTCACACTGACCACTCTTTTTTTTTCCCCCCCCCCACCCCCCTGCTAAATACAACACAAGTAACTTAACATGCTCCATTCTTCATGCACTTTAAGTACTTAAAATATAGGCACTTCTGTTTAAACTGGTTCTTGGAATTTGCAATTTATTTTTTTCCTCTGAGCATATGGTGATGGTGCATTTTTCCCTGCCCCCTGTTTTTCAGTACCTAGGAAAAACTACCTATATTAAATGTAAGCATGCAGTGTGGCAGCTTGTAGTTCTATCCACGTCCTTGATTGCACTCTACTGAGCTAACTGGAACTGACAGTAATGCTGGAGACTTCATAGGTGCACTCTATCCTTTTGCTCTCCTATCTTCAGTAAGAAGGGACAGGAGAATATGCTTTTATCAGTCTCCTGAGAAATGTCAAGCCACTAGATAGTTAGACCCTTGTCATGAGTGGATACCTGCACACTTACCAACAGGGCTTCTGAGTAAATCAGAATTGGAATGGAAATATTTTCTTAAGGAAACAGCATCCTGTTCTTTCCACAGTCCTGGGGTGGGGGGGAAAGAACTTTCTTAATTGAAGAAAAGAGGATATTTGCAGTTTCCCTTAAAATAGACTAATAAAGATGGTGGTCTTGAAAGCTGTTCTCTTGTATCCCTGTTTCATCCAAATAGGAATACAGGAAATGCATGGGCTTTAATGGCCACTGTAACATAGCTCAGAATGGTGGCATATCAAACATAGTATCTTAGTATCGATGTAGCCTGTGTTCTGTAAGTGTAGTGTGGCTGCTTCTTCTTCTCCCCCCCCCCCCCCCCCCCCCGGATTGGCAAGATCAAATAGGTCTTTCCATCTGCTATGATTAGTGTAATGAGTAAGCTTCCATTGTGCTAAATGGTGTGTATTTGATGTCTGCTGAAACCTGTGTAATGCTCGTGTGGTTTTAAGTTGAATCCATTCTGCTTGTCTTTGAAGTCTGAATCCTTCCTGTGTCTATTGGGACCCTTGTGTATGCATATGTGGAGCTTGTAATTGGTGGCTCTGTTCTGCATGTAGTGAGACAGTGCTGTCCTGTCTGAGGGGAGGGACTACTCTATGCTTGTTTGCCTGGAGATAGCTGTGACCATTGTGTTGTAGTAACTGGGACTACATCCTTTTTGTCCGTGAGAATATGAGGGATCCTTATTGAGAACATGAGGGATCCTTATGGCAACAGTGTGCCATAGTCTGTCTGACTCAGATGGGGTGTGTGTGCGTATGGATATACCCTCTGGCTGTTGAAGGACTGTAAACAATCTGTGGTGGTGACTTTTCATGCCTTCCCACCTTCTTTCACTATATGTTCAACTGACGGGTTAGAACAGGCTGTGTGGGAAGAGGAGAATGAGCCCTCCCAGGGTGGGTTAGGTTGGTTATTCTTGAAGTGCTTCTCATTTTCTCTACTGGTGTTACTAAGTAAAGTACATAGTGGCCCTTTTAAATGCTTCACATCAGTTGCAGCAAATTGTGCATCCCTCCATATACAGAGTTGGATATGTAACTAGGGGAGACAAGGAAAGGAGACAGTAGTTATGCAACTGCTAACTAGATTAGGATTAGGGAAGAGGTTTTTCTGTTTCTGGGGCGGGACTCTGCTTTCATGTTTCTGGTTTCCATGTGTTGCTTTGAGGATTGCACCTACTGAAATCACTCTAGAGCAGTGGTTCTCACAACAAATTTTTGGGTGGCCCCAGAGTGTGGCCACCAACTCTTGCTGGTGGCTGCTCTGACAATTTTTCCTAAAATACTTTAACTTTAGGAAAAACGCAATGATTTGGACACGTGCATATTTATTTAATTGACGTAGAGTTTGTTTGGTTTTTTTTGCAGACTCAATTAAAAAAATGTGCAGTTGTCTATTAATTACTGGGCCTAAACAGAATAGAAACACAAGGTGCTTTGAATGTTTTGGTGGGGTGTGTGTGTTATTTTTTTTTATATTTAAAAAAAAAACTTGCTAGCTAGTAAGTCTGCTGTGAAAAGTGAGATTTTTGTATAAGTTTTCATAGCAGACTTACTCAAGCTGGGGGACAAATTAAGCTCTGGATGGGGAGGTGGGTAGGGGGATAGATGGGAGGGGAGATGGGGGAGGTGAGCCCAGAGTGAGAGTGTGTGGCCCTGGTGCACAGATGGGGACCGGAGGAGGCAGCGAGGGCCAGGGGTGTGTGTGTGTGTGTGTGTGGGGGTCCTGGAGCCCTGCGGCTGGGGGACGAAGCAGCCTGCTGCTGCTGCGTGGCCAGAGCCTGTCACCCACCACCCCAGGGCTGAAGCCCGAGCCCCACCATCCCCTGGATCAGTGAGGTATAACAGTTATATCTTGAGTTCTAAGCAGTTGTTTCAGCTGTATCCTCCTCCTGAGTCATATTGCTGTGTTCCTTTAAAGCTTATTTTGCAGCGAGTCATAAGGTGGGAAATGGAACCGAGCCTATGTTGCTTTTGACAGCACAGTACTATCTCCAGTTCCTATGCTTTTTACTGTCTTAATGAATTTCCAGGAGATGGTCATACCAATGCTGTCAAATTACCCTTGGATCCAGTCCACCAGATCAGTGAGGTTTCTCTGCAGCTTGTGCTATTGTCCCTGACTAAAGCAATGTAGGAATGTAAAAGCTCTTCATTTATTAGCCCAGGTGACCTGAGTGGTGTGCCACCCAATTTATGGTGCTGAGAGGAGAGCTAGCCAGAAGCCTCT